AGAGAGAATTAAAATTAGAGAGGAAAGAAAAGAAGTAAGCTATTCTCAAGAAACCGGACCTCTAACAGCAATTGTTATCCAAGCTTCATTAAATTTCCTAATATCACGCTATGTAAGAGAGAGAAAAAAAAAAAAAGTAACAACTAAAGTAAAAAAAAAAAAAAATGAGAAAATGTTTGTCTTCCAACCAATCTACTTTTTCTTATATTTTTTTCTTTTTAATCACAGACTTTTTACTCTGTGTAGGTTGTGCTTAGAGTGAGCACAGGCAAACGGACCGGTCGAAAGGACGTAAGCCTTATTGTCGTGGTAACTCGCTGTGAATACAAAAAGCGAGAAGAAAAAAAAAAAAAAAAAAAAAAAAAATTTCTTTAGCCGACTGACAAGAAAGAATGTGATGGACATGAGCGCATGCGTGCAACTTATTCCCTTCGGTTCGAGTTTCGAAAAATCATCGACATTCTTCGATGTAACGAAGCGGAAAATAGACGACGTGGAAAATCTACCGGCCAGTAGTGCATTACGGTCGGTTGAAATTGTCAAGCAGGCCGGTTTAGAATACAGTGGGACACACTTCCACGCGCATATATTTCTTTCTATCGATCTATCTATCAACCATCTGCTATCAGCGTTCGAGCGCAGGTAAGAATCTGGATTGCAAAGACTGATTTTCATGGCAAGCAGGCCTTCTCCGGGATTCGATATAATTTTCCTTCTTCAATTGCGTACCTACAAACACTGACACTGAACAGGAATGACTCGTAAACAAACATAAATAACTGATTTTTATGGATGTACGACCTTTACGCTTTGTCTACCGATGAGTGTAGTTTTTGTCCGATCCTCTGTCATCCAGAGCCTTCTGACATAATAATATTAAGTGGGAAGAGAGAGAGAGAGAGAGAGAGAGAGAGAGAGAGAGAGAGAGGAGAGTGAGAAAGAAGCAAAAACAGAGTAAGAAAATTAAAAGGAAAGAACACACACACACACATATATATATATATATATATATATATATATACCGCATTCGGGATTAGAGAACTATTGAAAATAGAAATTATGAATCACTTGGTGGCTGTATAATACATACTTCGCAATGCTAGATACGGTTCTGAATTCAGAGAACCCTGTTTACCTTACTATTTAACCCATAGCTGGTGGGGGGACGGATTCATTCTCAAGTGTATTTGTGCGAATGTGAAAGTAATTAACTCGACTCGCCAATATTTCGTTCCGACAACCACTACACCACCGACACATCCAGTTATATATATATATATATATATATATATATATAAAGGTATGATTAGGCAACAAGTATTCTTTCAAATATGTTTTGTTGAATAATATCAACAAATTTGTCTATTCAATTTTAATTAACTTTTTCAAATTTCCGAATTAGTTTCTTCATATATTTATGTTTATTTTTACCCACGAATACTTTCTGAAATTGCTACACACACACACACACATATATATATATATATATATATATATATATATATATATATATATATATATGTATGTATATATATATATATATATATTATATGAAAGATGGTGTTTACCAAAAAAGAATAAAGTAATGGTTAACCATTACATAAAATATCAATTTTTAATGTACGCAGTCTTTGTAATTATAGTGCTCCAAAATCAATAGAATTTTAAATCAAAGTTTTAATGTTAATGAATAAAATTAAATTTTCATTTATCTTGTCCCTATTCTGAATTTCGTGGAGGCTTCATCCCCTCGCTAAAAGACTTGATTGTAAAATTGAATTTATTTTCGGAAATCATTTTTTTTTTTTTGAAAGACGAAAAAATTGTTCGGATATATGGATTTTAAGATAAACATGTTTTCTAAAAATAAATGCATTACAGTAATCAAGTCTTCTGACGAGTGGATGTAAACTCCGCGCAAACCCAGAGTAAAAACAAGAACAAGTGAACATTTAATTACATATATATGAGAGTGAAAGAGAAGACAGAGAGAGACAGACCCGTTGGCTGGATATCAAATGATGGAAATTACAATTTATCATCAGATTATCATACTATGTCCTTCATAGCATTTATTGTAGGAATAACCATACTGTAATGGTTTACAAAAGTATTTTCGATTTTTTCAGACCATCTACCGAGATATCATAAACCAGAACTTTTCTTACATCAGTCAGTGTTTTAAAAATGAAGTTCAATTAGTTGTTTTAGTAGGGTAACAATGCTGAATATAGTCAACCTAATGATGAAAATAAGAAAGTCAACCTAGTGAATTGTTTAGTCAGCCCCTTGATCTGAATGAACTGAAGAAGAACTGCCATGAAGAGAGGTTTATACTAGTTACTACCAAAATAGATGCGTTTTCCAGCCAAAATGAAAGCTAAAAACGCTACCGCCTGTTTAAAAAAAAAAAAAGGCCCCAAATCAGGAAATTATCCGATTGAAACGAACAGCGCTTATTTATTCCTTAATAACATATATTGACTTAGTTATTTTATTAGAAAACATTTGACGGGGGTCGGTTTCAACCGCCCACATTTTGACATATCGTGTGTAATTTGTTGGGGGTGTTTACGAAATTTTGTCTACAGTTTTATGGCGAAAAATCCCTAAAGATGTTAATTTGCTAAAAGGGATTGTCAGTGGTCAGAAATTAAGTCAAACAACTTTGACAGTATTACGCTCTTATAATGTCAATGAATTATTAATTATTTTCCTAAAGAAATGCTCTGAAAATCAGGAGAAATGATTGTTTGTAGTCAGGAATTAAGATAAACATGACTGACAGAAAAGGGTTATAATCTGAATGTTTCTGTATATAAACATACACGTCCCTTTATTCTCGGCTCAGGCGATAAGGGAAGGATTTGATGATGGAATACATACATAAAAATGACCAGTAAGCATTTCCAAAAAGATTAAGAGTGCGAGTATTCGTGTCTACATTGGAGGAAGTAGTCATACGATTTCAAATATGGATGCGTTAGACCTGTGACACCGAAATCCAAAGGCGCATTGGGATAGCCAAAGATGCATTGCAAAAGATAAGAAACAAAAAAAAAATTACGTTAGAAAGAAAGAAAAGATTATTTAACTGTTAAGTAATGTCAATCCTCCTATATGAATGATGGACAATCTTTTCACAGATGAAGTAGAGACTTGAAGCAGCAGAAATGCCGTTCTACAGAAAGATGCTGAGGATACCATGGACCGAAAATGCGAGCAACGACGAAGTTTTCGAGAAAATGGACACAAAAAGGAAGCTTTTACTTAACATCTCGAAGAGATTGCTGTAATTTCCAGAGAGAGGGCTTGGAAAATCTGATACTCGCAGGATAGATTGAAGGCAAGAGGAACAGAGGAAAACGTTTCAGACAAGAGGTTATATGGACAAGCAGTAAGAGAAAAAAGGAATGTATCGTAATAGATTAATACTAAAAAGGATATGAGAAAAAATGGTGTGACTGAGAAGTAAGAATAAATTCAAAGAACTGAATGTGAAGAGAGGAAAGCGGCGAAGATAGAGAGGAAAATAAATGGAAGATGTGGAGGCTGATATACAAGGAAAGAGTAGAAACTAAAAGAAAGGGGGTTAAAAAAAGAAAGAGCAACTTTCATCATCATCATCCAACTTCCCTGTGGTGTGGTTGGCCAAAACTCCATTAACACTCCCTTTCTACACTCTTCGGTCCTGAATTGCTGTCCCCAGATTCCCAATGTTTAACCCTGAGTCCCGAGCCATGGTGTTTGGGAAAGTCAATTTCGTGAGAAGACACCCCCAGAAGGATGTCACAGGAGGAGACGACCCCCCTCCGTTCGATCGGTGGCAGTGGATGGCAAACTGCAATCGCTTTTGTTTGAGCTTAAGAGAGGTTGGTCTCAGTGGTCCGTAAATTGTCTTAAGCGCTGCATGGGATCTCCAACTGATGATCTTGATTTTTCTAAGCATATTCGTATATGTTCCTTCCAGTCGTCTTTCAAGATGAACAGATAAGGTCCAAGTTTCTGATCCATACTGTAGCACTGGTTAAATCAGTGTCCGAAATTTTTGGACTTTTAAAAAGGATGCAATCTTGTGAAGTTTGTTACACGCATTCCATATTGAGCAAGGAAAAGAGATTAGTGACGTTAGTGAACGAAAGAAAGAGAAAATAAGGAAGAACTAAAGTAAAAAAGCAGGAGATAAAGAAGAGAGATACAGAAAACAAGAGAAAGGAAAAAGAAAGAGAAAGGAAAAAGAAAGAGAAAGGAAAAAGAAAGAGAAAGGAAAAAGAAAGAGAAAAAGAATTCAGAAGATAAACGAAAGATAAATGAAAGCAAAGGATAAACGAAAGAGAAAAGATGAAAACTAAGAAACGAGAGAGAGAGAGAGAGAGAGAGAGAGAGAGAGAGAGGGGATACAGAAAACAAATAGAAAACACAAAAGAGAAACAAAAGAAAAAAGTGAAAAGAAGCGAAAGAAATAATTAAACAAAAGAAATAAAGAGAAAGAGAAACAAAAGAATGAAAAAGAAAAGGAAATAAAGGAAGAGAAACAAAAAAGAGAGTCATAGAAAGAATAAGGACGAAAAAAAAGAAAAGAAAAAAAAAGTAGAATAAGGGGAGATAATCGTAAAAAAAAAGACGAAAAAATTAGTTTGTCGTAAGGCGTCTTAAATCTTTCAAAACATTTCCTTTGACCAAGTTTGACCGGTGTAGGGAATGCCGGGGAACCGTAAGTCAATAAAAAGAAAGAAAGAAAATGAAAAACATAGCCATATATGTCAGTGGTCAGTCAGTCGGTTCGCTTGGACGGTTGAGTGTGAGTAACAGGAATCAGCGGTGAATAAGTTTGAGGTAAAGTTAGTGTGAGAGAGGGTCAGTGCGAGACTTGACTGTAGGTTCAGGGTGAGGGTTTGGAACAGTTTTTAGAGTCGGAACGTTGCGGTCGATTTGAGAACCTGGGGAGTTAAATTGATTTGCTGAACTGGTTGGCTGGTCGGAGTTTTTTTTTTTTTTGTATGCAGTTCACGTCCAACGCCAAGTGGAAAAGTGAAAGCGATAACCACGTCAAAATACAAGCTCGGAGATTTATTTACGGATACAAACCCCCTTTTCTTATCCACGACCGCTCTCACTTTCTGTTTGTCTCTTGTTTTCACTCTCATTACCACTCTCTTGTTTGTTATTTCTTTTTTTTTTCTTTCTGTTTCATTTCTTTTTTTCTTTTCTGTCTTTGTTTCTTCAGATTTGTGTTTCTTTTCTTTCTTTCTTTCTTTTTGTTGTCTCTTTTTCTGTCGTTATTGTCTATCATTCATATCTTTCTTTCTCATATATCTTTCTTGTATATTTCCTTTTCTCTTTTCTTTCATAATATTTTTACTTTTTCATTTCAAATCTATTTTCTATTTATATCTTTTAATTTTGTGTTTCTTTATTTCATATTTTTCTTTATCCTCGCTTTCATAGCTTTCTTTTTTTTCATATTTTTCTTTTTCTTCTCGTTGCTTTATATTTTCTCCCTCTTTTCTTTCTTTCATATCTTTCTCTCTCTTTTTTCTTTCATATTTTTCTCTCTTTTCTTTCATATTTTTCTCTCTTTTCTTTCATATTTTTCTCTCTTTTTTCTTTCATATTTTTCTCTCTTTTTTCTTTCATATTTTTCTCTTTTTTCTTTCATATTTTTCTCTTTTTTCTTTCATATTTTTCTCTCTTTTTCTCTTTCATATCTTTGTCTTTTTTCTTTCATATTTCTTTCTTTTTCTCTTTCATATCTTTCTCTCTCTTTTTCTCTTTCATACCGTTCTTTCTCTTTTTTCTCTTTCATACTGTTATCTTTCCTTTTTTTCTCTTTCATACTGTTCTCTTTCCTTTCTTTTATATTTTTCTTTCTTTGCAATTACAAAGATACTTTTGTATCTTTCTATGTCTTCCTCACTGCCATATCGTTTTTTGTTTGTTTTTTTTCAAAAATAATGTTTTCTATATTTATTTTTTCCAATCCACTTTTTTATTTTTACCCTTGTTTCAACTTTTCACTTCGGAATTTTTATTTTTATTTATTAATTTTCGGGCGTTAACTTTCTCTCATCTTGCTTTTATATCGCTCCTTCTTTCCTTTTTTTCTTCTGTCCTTCCTTTAATTGGTTCTTCTAATTTTTTCATCCTCCTCATCTCTACCTTAATTCCCCCTCTTCTTTACTGCTTCGGTCTTAATTTCCTTTCTACGTCTTTTCTCTCATGCCACTCTTTTTTCCTTTAACATTGTAGGTTCCTTCTACAGTTTCACCCCTCTTCTTTTTTTTCTCTCTATCTTCCCTTTCCTAATTCCTTATCTTCTTTCTCGTCCTTTTTTCTTCTCTATCTTTCCCTCACTTTCCCGCTATAACTCCTCTCTTTTTTTAAACATCTCTGGACAAAGACAACAGAAAGAGAAAGTAAACTAAAAATAAAACATTCCCTCTTCAAATGAACGTGTTCTAACGTTTAAACCGTCGCTCAAAACGTCTGTTTCACTGCGATTTCAAAAGCTAACCCCAGGATGATTTTATATAGAGGAAAGATAATATAACATGTAAGTCTGTTTAAAGGTCATGGTACTTTACCGAATCGACTCGTCTCGGGGTGGGCCAGAGTTTACAGTGGCTGAAATATTGTTATAAAAAGATCAAGGATGAGAAAATTAGTATGAAAATAATGCTTAATTTGGTTCGAGTAATGTGACCGATTTAATAATCAATCGTGGATGGGTTATTTACAGATCGCGACAGCTATTAAAGGAGACGTGATAAAATATACTTTAATGTTTAAAAAAATTATTCAGTATTATTATTGTTTAGGTAATAAGCATTATAACATAGCACAAATAGCTATATCGTGGGAAAAGAAATTTTTGACAATATACGCATTTTTTTTATGTATTTATGGTTATTTTTCAACTTACCAAAAACGACATTCTTCTTGTACATGTAGTAATGGATAATATTATACATTAATTACTATTTTTTTAAAATTAATATCTATTTGTGCTCAGTTGTTGACATTAATAGCTATCTGTTGATGTGTTAAGGTTTTGGAATAATGCAATAATAATTGTGGGGTCGATGAGGGATCTAAAGATTCTATGAAGGGGTTGATGGTATAAAAAGTTTGGCGATCCATGACCTAGTGTCAAAACACTGGGCAAAGGTACGGTTTGTACACATGATTCAAAAAGATAGGCATATGTTCTGTTTGAACCAGATTCAAAAAAATAGATTACCAGAGTCAAAATGTTGCCATAGGAACGGTTTTAGTCGTATTCAAAAACGTAGGTACGGTTTGAACCAGAGTCAAAAGCGTAGACATACGCCCTGTTTGATCCAGAGTGAAAAACGTAGACATACGCCCTGTTTGATCCAGAGTGAAAAACGTAGACAACAGAGAAAATACAGTGTGACAATTTAATTTACAGAACATTCCTGTGAAACTAAATTTAGTTTACGTGGTCATTTTCGTCTAGAACTTTCCAATTGTGGGTATTTTGAAGCTGACAGCAGTGATAGCATTTCATGAATGACTAAATCTACAAAGGATGAATAAATCCACAAAGATTATTACATGCGATATCTATAGATCGGTGGGGTTTAGATTACGCATACAGTCTACATTTTGACTGTTGTATTAAAACCGGACTTATGTCGACATTTCTGACTCTCGTGTAAAACCGGACTTGTGTCGACTGTTTTGAATCTCATATAAAATTGCACTTATGTCGACTTTTTTTAAACTCTCCTGCAAAATCAGAGTTATCTCAATTTTTTTTTACTCTCGGGTTAAACGAACGTATGCCAATCTTTTATCTAGTGGGTAAACTTGACCGATGTTTATCTTTTTGACTCTTGTGTCACCAAACTTATGTCTACCATTTTGACTTGTGTACAAACTTAACTTTTATCTACATTTTGACTTTAGTATAAACCGGTTTATTCATTCGTATTAATTTCCGTCCATTAAGACTTATATTTGACATGTCGTTAAATTAACCAACATCGCTGACCATTTGGTAAACGGTGAAGAAGGTACTCGAAACACTGAATACAACAATACACACGCAAAGAATTAAATTTAAAAATTAAATTTGTGACTAATTCTCAACTTTTTGTTACTTTTTATCACAAAAATAGTTTTTCAAAATCTTATTATGAAAACTCTTCACCACCACAGTTGAGAAATCGAATCTTTACGCCAACAAAACTAGAATAAGTGCGGCAGATAAACGAAATAAACACTTAAAAAACCGTACGTCTACTCAAACATCGGCACCCACTCAATATAACGTTAGAGGTAATAAAAATTAACAAAACTAGAATATCATTGAAGAAAACAAAGATAAATTAATACTTTATAGATAAAAAAATCTTCTTAAGGACTGTATTTTCAAATACTCTTAATATAAGACGCATTAAGATCAAGACAAGGAAATATTTAAGAAATGAACGTTTCTTCATGATGAGCCACGAAGGCACCCTTTACAATTTATAGCACATCAAAGAAAGTCTTTGTTCAGCAGGGAAAGTTGGGGCTCAGTTGTAGTCCCTACGGGTCGTTGATAAAGACCCAAGTATCTTTACATCTGGCTTACGAAATCTGTAATGTGGTTCCCATCCCCGGAAAGGCCATACGTGACGACCGTGTCGGGGTTTTTGTAAAAGACGGCTTTTGTTTTATGCAACCCACGGATTGAAGTCATTAGCGAGTCACACGAATGACCAATTGTCTGAGTGACCACTGCTTTTCGGGCGGCTTTTACAATAGAACAATAGAGATTGAAAAGAAAGTGGTCAATATATTCGGCTGTTATTTGAATCCCACCCCAAGACCTTTTAAGCGGAAAAAGAAAGAAAGAAAAATAATCGGGGATTAGTTTTGCCACTTTCGTTTTCATTTTGGCTGGTTCACTCGAGGAAAGGTTTCCAAATTTTATCTATTTATTTACTTGTACAACTATGCTATTCAAAATTATGGTACGTTCTATTAACTAGTAACTATTATTAGTTATTTAAAACATTTTTGGGAATTATTATTTCGGGCCAGTCACAGAGTCCGTCTTTTTGCTTTTGCCGGTTTTGTTAACATTTGTAAGAGCCGGTCGTTATTATAACAAAGGCAGTGCCAGCATGTGTCGCCAAAAGCAAGGCAGATAGTCGACACATTAATAATTAGAAATATTACAAAAATATTTACAAATACACAAATATTAGATATGGCAGAAAGACAGAATTTACAAATACACAGAGTAGTTTGCTTATAAGCTTCTTAGTACCTTATTAAAGGAAGAGAGAAAATTTCCATGTTGATACATATTCATTTATTCCGAGTAGTTTCGACATTAGCAAAATGCCTGTGGGGAAAATAGAAACGGCCTACCTTAAACGTTCTCGCATCTTCCTGGCCTGTGGGTTGAGAAAGGAAAGAAAAGATTCAAAATGGCGTCCGTGACTTTAATATTCACGGTCTCGTGCAGTCACGCAAAGTCGCGTTACATACATGCTAATGAGGTGTGTCTGGGCTCCATAAAAGCAGGTTGCTTGAGACATTGGCAACCAACATTTCACCTGTGCTTGGTGTACATCGTTTTGCGTTGCAGACATTTTCAGACGGAAAGAGTTGCGTCCCTTACACTGTTTAAGTCGACCCATTTGCTACAAGAAATACAATGGACAGATTCGAAAAATACCAGAGTTCGACGGCTCCCCGCTGGCCCGTCTGTGGTCGAGTGGTGGGAAAAGGCCGAGCGGGTCTGCCGGCTGTGTAAAATTAAAGATCCCGCACTGGTTATCCCTCTTAGACTCACCAATTTATCAGCAGCTAAGGGATGACGCAGACTTGAGGAAATAAAACAAGCATCACGCAGCATTTGGTGCGGACCCCTTTGTCGCCTGGAGGCAGTTTACCGAACGACGGCTTGGACCGGATGAAACAGTAGATGTCTTTCTGGCCGATTTGAAAGCTGGGGCACCGTTCGGTGGAGCAAGCGACCAAATCCTCACTCCAAAAGTCGACTGACGAGCATCGTCAAGGCTCAATGAGCTGGGGCTAGACGAATTACTGGCCAGAGCCCGATGAATATGGCCAAGCCGGAATATTCTAAAAAAGAGCCGGCCTCAGCAGCTGTGGAAGCACCCGCACCGCCAACTGAGGACATAAGGTGCTAAAATGGCGGACTGAACCACTCTCCAAAGACTGCCGAAGCCGTGCGAAGGATACGGAGATGTATGCGTTAGGTGCGACAAGCTGGGCCAAATCTGTCCAGGAAACGGGCAAGGAGTGTTACAGCGCCAGTCTTCCCCCAGATCGCCGGAACAGGCGCTACCCGCAGTGAGCGTGCGGATTAACGGGCGTGAGCGCTTCGCGCTTGTTGACACCGGTGCACCCAGACCCTTGTGCAAGGCATGTTGTGACACGTCAAGAAAAATATTCCAGTTCTGACTGTTGGCGGGGGCTCGTTTTTCATCCGCGCAAGCATCGGCGATGGGCCTGCAGTAGCCGTGGACGGAGGGCTGCTCGGCTAAGATCTGCTCCTGGAATGGACGTCATCAAAAAATTGGGTGGTGTTCGTGTTGACGAAGAGGGTCGGGCGCGTTTCACTGAAACAGGTCTAGCTCTAGGTGCAGCAATGGAGCTGAACGGCCTGATTTTCGTGCGGAGTTCGACCAGCGCACAAAGTCCTGGACGGTATCTTGAAATGGTCAGACGATCAACCGCCAGAGAAGCTGTACAACAGTGTGCCAGAGTATAAGATCCCCCGCGAGCTCGTGTGGAGTACGACAAGAACTGCGAGCCTTTTAATAACGGTGGTTGGTTCCCTTATCCAGAGAAGGAATTGGGGCCCCAAAGGGTCTGATCCCGCTAATGGCGGTTATCCAGCACAACAAACAAAAGGTGAGGCCGGTGCTCGACTATCGAGAACTGAACGAGCACGTGGACCCTTTTACAGCCCGCGCGGACGGAGAAGCTAAGGAATGGCGACAAGCAGGATCAAATGTATCTGTGCTGGATCTTTCGCAAGGCATACCTTCAAGTGCGTGTGCACCAATCACTGTGGCCCTATCAAACCGTGCTTATCAAGGGGCAACGGTATTGCCTGACCCGCATGGGGTTTGATCAATGATTTATGCAGATGATTGTTGACGCCATTCTAACGAAGGATGAGCGCATACAGCGGGCAACATCTGCATATATTGATGACGTACGAACGAGGGAGTCGTATTCTGCGGCGCGCGTGAAGGAGCATCTTTTTTGGCCTCCTCAGCAAGGAACAGAGACTACAGGATGGTGCAAGGGTGCTTGGTTTGCAGGTCTGGGGAGAAGATAACGTCCTGTATTGGAAACGGGGAAACGAACTCCCCAGACATGCCCTCTGTTGTCACGCGGCGAAGCATATTTTCCTTGTGCGGCAAGTTAGTTGGACACCTTCCTGTAGGTGGCTGGCTGCGTGTTGCGGTGGCGTTTATCAAGCGGAGAGAGCATCTGACGTCACCACTGGATGGGATGACGAAGTTCACGACGCCCCTCTCAACACCATGATGAAGGAGGTCCTCGCTAGAGTACGCAAGGGAAGACCCAGCGCGGGCAGATGGTGCGTTGACAGCCAAGACCTCAGTGTGGGTTGACGCAAGCTCTCTCAAAAACCGGCGTATCGATAGTTCACGATGGAGCCGTGGTAGAAGATGCTTGCTGGTTACGTCCAGAAAGGGACCCCAGCACATAAACCAGCGGAGCTTGCCGTCATCAAGGGGATCAACTTTCCTTTGGAAGTCGACCACCCTGCGTCTGTTCACTGATTCCGCTTGCGTTTATAAGTTCCAGGGTGCGGACTAAAGCCACCAGCGAGATGCTTATCCGACGACGGCTTCGTGAATTTAGTGCAAGAGTACGCACTGACAATGGAGGTGTCCCTGGTTTAGCCTCAACAAAAGAGATTGTTTAACGAGGGTGCTGCAAAGGTGGCTTGACGCCGCTAAGAAAGCCATTGAGCCCGTGCAACCAGCCTGCGCTGCGTCCGTGAGTCCCGTTCGATTTAATCAAATCAAAGAAGTCCACCAACAAAGTGGGCACCCTGGAGTTGTATTTCGCCGTTGTTGACCCAGGAGTACAAAAAGACGGACGTCAGGAGAGTGGTCAGAAGCTGCGTGGCGTGCCAGTTCTATAGACCCAGCACCCGTTCGCTGGAAGAAAGGGCAGCTGAGCGTGAGGAACCACTGGAGCCGGCTGGCGATAGATGTTACTACCACAACGGCGAGCATTTCCTGACACTTTGATTGTGGTCCATCCAGGTTTGCGATATGGCGACTGCTGCGTCGGCAAGATGCAGCCACTATCATCCGTCAGTTAAACAGCATCTTTCTGAACGTGGCCCCAACGGAGATATTAACCGACAATGGCACCGCATTCACCAGCGAGCAGTGTTTGGCGGATGGCTGGGGAGTGCACTTTGCGTACCGAGTGGAAATGGAATTCGAGCGGAACCACAGGACCGTCACATATCGCAGCCAGGACGGGCTGCACGGTTTGAGGCAGTTCAGATACAACGTGACCCCGAAGGATGATGTTCACCCTCTACGGCGCCAGCAGACACATTGCATAGGTACCACGTTAGAGTGAAGGGCATAGAAACCAACCCACTGACGGAAAAAGTAACCGGAGAGGGCTGAAGAAAGGCGATGTCGTCTGGATTAAAAAATCCGCACAGCAAGTGCACCACGAAATACGGAATCGGACGCGTCACTTGATCAGCCCAAATATTCCGTCGACGCAAAAACCACCGCTTGAGAGCGAATCGGAATCTGAGACCAGTGAGGCATCGCTCTGGTTCACGCCAGCCCCATCAGGCAGTGACTCGATATCAGTAGCCTTCCAAGGGACGCGGTGTCTTTCGACCCTCAGACCTCAGACAGGAGCACAAGCAACGATGAGGCTCGCAGCGTCCCTCTTCGAAGAAGTACCCGGCGCGAAGCGATCACCACCTCCCCATCAACTCTGTGATTAGATCAGGGGGGAGTGTGGGGAAAATAGAAACGGCCTACCTTTCTCGCATCTTCCTGGCCTGTGGGTTGAGAAAGGAAAGAAAAGATTCAAAATGGCGTCCGTGAACTTTTAATATTCACGGTCTCGTGCAGTCACGCAAAAGTCGCGTTACACACATGCTAATGAGGTGTGTCTGGGCTCCATAAAAGCAGGTTGCTTGGAGACATTGGCAGACCAACATTTCACCCGTGCTTGGTGTACATCGTTTTGCGTTGCAGACATTTTCAGACGGAAAGAGTTGCGTCCCTTACACTGTTTAAGTCGACTCATTTGCTACAATGCCATCATCAGTAAACGCCAAGGTTATGTACTGTACGCTTTAAATTTCACGATGGAAACGTTAGGGGAGGTAACTAACCTTGAAATGTCTATATTAAAAAAAAAAAAAAAAACAAAACAAGTTATTGTTAAAACGAGGAAGTTTTAAGGAGAAGAGGAACTACAAAGAAACTGCTAATATTAATAAAAAGGAGACAGAAACTGCTAATATTAATAAAAAGGAGACAGAAACTGCTAATATTAATAAAAAGGAGACAGAAACTGCTAATATTAATAAAAAGGAGACAGAAACTGATAATATTAATAAAAAGGAGACAGCTGATATTTTGGGGGACACCTTGTGAAAGAAGGCATACTGCAAGCAAGAGAAATAGGGAAAACAGTAAATATTCTAGATAAATTTACGTAAAGAGATAAGAGAAAAAGGATGCGTGATAAAATGGAAAGACTTAGAGAGACAAAAAATGTGGAGAGCGATAATCCCACACCTTCTAAACGAACATGGCGTATAAAACGAGAAATCAGATTTATGTTGACCTTTTTGATTATTTTGTAACCCAAACTTTTATCTATCTTTTTAACATTAATGAAAGCTGGACATGTGTCTACCTTTTAAACTCTTCATTGTGATTTTGTCCTTAAAGATTTTCTTCTTTTTTTTTTCAGCCAAAGCAAAGTGACAGTGCCACAAAGATGTAGAGGTTTACGGGGAGGAAAGTGCATGAGAACTCTCTAGTGAAGAAAGATAAAGAAAAAAAAGGACAATAAAGGAACAAAATTTAAGACCAGAGATGTCGACTGACGTTGCATCTACATTTTTGAAGATTGTAGGTGGAATGAAAGCAAGAAATTGGAAGGCAGTTCCACATGTGAGATGTGCGAGAAAATGAACTTTTAGAATAGAAATGATGGTTGCATCTAGTTAGTTCAACAGTAAAACAATAAGACCCAGGTGCCAATCTATTAGCACGCTTAAATTTGTGAAGACGAGACACTAAAGAGAACAGCCCATCAGAAGAATTGCCATTAAAATATTTGTAGAAAAAACAGCGGGAAGCTATGTTATATTGATGTGAAATGGACTGAAGTCGACCAGGATCAATTACATTGAATGTTGTCAAGAACCTCAGGATAAATTATATTCAAGATTGAATAACTCAAAAAGGGCTCACATGTTGTTAAATTTACTTAAAAATATTTATACCAATGTCATAATTCTTTAAAAAAATAGTATACAAATAAATAACTTACGAGAAGCTGTTAGATAATATTCTTAGAAACAAAGAAATGAGGGCAAGGCTGCTAAATAGCATATCTGAACTTTTATATATCAGTGACTATTGGGCAATTTCTTCATAGAGGAAGATTAAATGTAAAGCAACAGCGATGTAGTTCTACAAATCAATGTTGAGAGTAATATGAACAAATCATATGAGAAACGAGTAAGTTTTCAGCAGACTAGAAACCACAAAGAAACTGCTGATAACAAGAAGACAGACAAACATTTTTGGGACTCGAATCGGAAAATGAGCGTATTTTTATCCCTTTATCCTTTCTTTTTTCAACTTGTGCACTAAGCTTAATAAACATGGCCTTGTACTTAATATCTATAGGTAAATTGTATATCGATTCTAGGCTTTTAAAATAATTTTAGATCAGACTTATATCAGACATTGTATGTTGTAAGAATTTAAAAAGGGTTTTCAAGCAGAGAAAGCGACAAGAAATATTCGCCTCTCTATGGAAATCAGGTTTTAAGTGTACGGGGATGTCGACGATTTTTTGTTAGATTGGGAAAATTTACTTTTGAAGATTCCCCTTGATTTTGATAACCAAGGTCTGTTAATATTGAGATTTCGCAAACTGTAATCAAGAAAAAATACTTAGCAAACTGCACGAGAATTAAGAAAACAGTTCAATACAAGTCCCACTTTGATTATAAGAAATACGTTTTCATGGACTCGGAAAAGTGTCTAAACTTTGTCAATGGATCTCTAATTTTTGGATTGGACTTTTCCTCAGTATAATTACAACTGTTTTTTTTTCTATAATCAAATCCAATGGTTAGCATCCACTGAAAAAGTAGAACCCATCTGCAAACTAGGACTACATCTGAAAAAGGTCATACTCCGTGTTTGGGGAGATATGAAAGGTGTCGTCTCGTAAAAAGTGTTACACCAAAAGGAATGCGGATAAACATTGTCACCAGCCACCAGGAAACACTGCACAAAAATAAATAAAATAAAAGCATACAAATTGGTTAATCTTAAGTCTTACACGATAATGCAAGATAACATATCCTAGTCAATCAGGAAAAGATTATGGCACTAAATTTTGCAGTTTTGTCTCATCCTCCTTACTCACCTAAACTTACTTCTTCTGACCGCCATCTTTTCAGATCGTTGCCGCATTTTTATAGTGATTGATTGATTGATTCACTGTTTTTTTACGGTTTATCAACCCTTTCTGTATTATTTAAAGTCGAAATATATTTGGCATTGTAAGAAAGATTCATTTTTTTTTCTTGTGAGTGAATATTGCATTAGCAGTTTTTTAGAATAACAATAATTTTCTAGATGTAACTCCTACTATTTAACCAAGAGCTAGGGAGGAGATGAATTCATACCTCCCCCCCCAATGATATTTGCACGTATGGGAATGTAACTAACCTGACTGGAATTCGAACTCAGTTTCCTGATTTCTCATTTCGAGGTGCTATCCATTAGACCACCCATGCATCAACACGTTTTATACGGAAAAAGTTTATTAATTATGAAGTGATTGAAAGTGATATTGAGTGTTTCTTTAAATCGAAAGCTGAAAAGATTTATGCCCGAGAGGCCAATAATTTGTCAAATAGATGGGGGTTATATTACAGATAAAGAGAGGAAACGTAATCTTGATTACATATATCGATTAATATCAAAGACGCAATTGTTTCTGTTTTATCTTCAAAGTTAGAAAAGAGAGAAATAGGAAAAAATAGTTCTCCTGGACTTTTCAAACTAACAGAACAAAAGTATAAAACAGTCGTCCTCTGTTCCTAATTCAACTTCTACTTGGACATGAGTCGAACAGAATTTAGTAAATAAAATCAGCCATTGATTAAAATACATGCTTGGTGGAAAAGACATGAAGAGAGAAGAAAAGAAAAAAAAAAGCGAAAAAAATAGTGAGAGAGGAACATGAACGAGAACAGCTTGAAAAGCGACAGTAAAAGAAGCAGTGCAAATGAGCAGAGTCTCGTACGTTCCTGCTTCTTTGTTGGCACAACTGATCATTCACAAAGGGGAACATGGGCGAATCACACCTGAATCATAGAAGACGGCGTTTGTATCAGAACGCAGAGGGGCTACCGGAAAGGCCGTGTGATTCGCGCCTGCGCGACTCTAATAAGATTAAATAGAAACGTCAGATCTCGATCGGGAGTCAGAAGAAGAGTTAGGAAGAAGAAAAATTGCATAGGTGGACGCTCTCTCGAAACAGATGGCTACGTTATGTTCCGATGCAGCTGTCAGGGTCACGCATTCGTGGTTTAATGGATAGCCCGAATAAGGTATTAAATAAAAAGAATTTGATTCTCACGTAATGTAGCCAGACATGGCTCAGTTCAAGGATGTTAGTTAAAAACATAAGTGAATTTAGCTCAGATGATTCATACTCTAAGAATTTGAGTTTGATCTTTTCTAGGCGGCCTAGCAATTGAACCAGATATACGAAGGTAAGTCAAAAATGATCCGCACTTTCGCCATAATATATATCTAGGTTTGTCACACTGCGTTCTGCTCAAGCGTGCTTATAGTTGGTACCTTTGTGGTCACGTGATCGAAGTTTAAGCTTGATCGCACTAAGAAATTGACTGACAAGAAACTAGTGTTGTCATTGTAAACAGAAAGATGCATAATATTAAGAACATTGGCTAAAGACATTAAAGCAATCAAACTATCACCTTTATGTCAAGATCATAATAACAAACGTATGTTAGGCGAAGAAGTACATGAAAACTGATATCTCAACAAAGAAGAGCTTAGAAGTGAATTAGGCTATAGTTGAGTCCTTCCTGGAAATAGTCAACATATATGACAACTGAAGTGAAACCACATAACAATTTTTGTCGTATTACCGGCAGTAAAATTATAGATCACTTGAGATTTGACGATGAGATCAGGACAAATTATTGTTAAGTTCTTGAAGATGAACTTTCTTGAGTTTTTTCAAATTACAATCGAGAAACATGAAACTGAAGATTATATTTATACAAAACAAAGCTGTTTTACATTCTCCCAAACTGACTATTGTCCATTCTGTCACTTGACATCTTTTCAAAGATATCAAATTAATGGAATGGTACCAAACTCTCCAGATGTTAATCCAATAGAAAACTACAATTAAAAAAGATGTAAATAAGAATGAAAAACAATATTTAAGATCTCTTGAAAGAAAGAAATAAGTAGAAAAGTTAACAAAGTCAATGAGAGAAAGAGTGACGAATGTCAAGGAGACCATATTCATATGTAAAAAATAATATAATTGATTCATGTTTTTTTAATATTTCGCCCCAACTAACGCAATAGAGTCACTAAGACGCAATGGGTTACTGTGTGGGAGAAAACTGTTAGTACAGAACGTAGAGTTACATCTAGTCATTTCAACTGCAAATTGATGAGACAAGACCTACCTGCCATATTAGTATTATGCTTAAATTCGTAAGGTCGATGTATCAAAGGAGAAAGTTCATCAGAACAATTACCATAAAAATATTTATAGAAAAGGCACAAGGAAATGGACTGAATTCGAGATATCATTTCAAAACCGATAATATTGCAGTTTCTTCTTTAAATGCTATCAAGAATCTTAAACCCATAACAGAAGCACCAGACCAGATGTGACAGTAATATTCAATGCATAGAGGAATGGTAGATTTATAAATGTGTAAGGTAGATTCTGGCGAGAAAACTTTCGTTGCACTTAAGTTGGTTGCAAATCAAAAAATCACATTCCCAAAACAATTTATCAATATTTTTCATCAGGTGAGATATCATATAAGCTGAATTTCATACAATATATCACGCAGATACAAATAAGGATATTCTGAAAATGTTATCATCTATTGGTTGATATCAGTTTTATTTTGAAAACATCGTTTGGCGTTGAAGGATGTTCGTAAGAAATAAAAAAAATTGACTTAGATGTTTAATGCTATAAGATTGAAAAGAAGCCGATTTATCGGCCAATCTTTTGTAAAAGAATGATGAGTTTAGAAAAAAAAAACACACTTAATGTAATAGTCAGTTTTGTGCCAGTAACATTGGCCATATCATCTTGAAAGTAGAATTTCGTTTGAAGCAAAAGCAATAATGACCTTTCTATTTCAGGTGTGAAAAATCCGAAAAAAGTTTTTTTGTCCATTAGATCCAAAATATAATTTACAGTGGGTCGTAGAAAAACCCAAAACGAACCGTAAAGAGCGGAATATTTATCTTAAGTAAATTATATCACTTGCTTTTGAACGTTTTTCTTTCATTTTTCTATTGTAATATGTTTTTATTTCTTAGCTTCAATCTAATATACTTGCAATGTCATAGACATTTGCCATGATTTTTCTTATTGAATAGAGTTGTCTCCCTTTATCGACTGTTTCAGTAACCCGCAATCAATCAATAAAGAGTAAGTATTACTTATTATTTCGTAAATAACATGTCCCTTTAAGAAATAGCTGTTCATGACTCTTCACAACTTCCATTCTTGTATTATCTGTAAATTAGCTTGAATTCGTGGGAATGACAGTGAAGTGGAGTACTATCTGTAGGTTCAGAGTTGAAGGGAGTACTATCTGTAGTTTCAGGTATCCGAAGGGAGTCATGGAACAAATATCCTGCGAATAAAGGAGGACTACTATATATTTCTTTTTCTATTTTTTTTGTAAATAAAGGACGTTTTAATATATATATTTTGAACACCGATTTATTTCTCTTTCTCATTGTTATCCATTATCAACCTGACCCGCTTCGCAAGACTTACTCAAGGGTATTTGCACGAAATGACGTTAACCGTTGGTTATTGTCACTTAAATGCGTTTTCGGCCGTCTGCTTCTCGATTAGTTGGGTCATTTATTTCACTGTGAGAAGTGAAGTTTCTTCATAATGGAGAGATTGTTGAATGAGTGGAGCGAAGGATCGATACTCCATAACTACGAATAAGAGAGAGAGAGAGAGAGAGAGAGAGAGAGAGAGAGAGAGAGAGAAAGAGAATGATGGAGAGAAAGAAAAAAATGATAAGTGAGAAAAACAGAATAAGAGAATGAGAAAGACAGAACAAGAGAATTAGAAAGGGAAAGTGAGTAAAAGATAAAACAAATGAGAGGCAGTGAGAGAAAGAAAGAGAAAAAGAGTGGTCATTAAAGAGAGAGAAAAGGAGAAAGAGAGAGAATTAGAAATTGAAAAACATAAAGGCGAGGTAGAGAGAGCGAGAGAGACAGAAACGGAGAAAAAGATAGAGAAGAAAATAGTGAGAAAATATATCGAGAGAAATACTGGTAGATAAAAGTGTAAGAGTGGGAAAGAGTGAAAAAGAGGAAAAGTGTTAAGAAGAGAGAGGGTGGGGAAGAATGAAAAACAAAGATGGAAAGAGAAAATGACGGAGGGAAAGAGAGTAATAGGGAAGACAAAAACATGATGGCCCCATGAGAAAGAGTGTTATACTATACGTGACGAGATTAGTTATATAAAATATACATATAATTAATTAGAAACGTCAAGAGGGAGACAGAGAAATAAGTATTATAGCGGATTTAAGTGGGATAGAGAGTCAAAATGAGAGTAATAAGTGATGTATGCCAATAATTATGAGTGAGAGAGAGATTAAAGCCCCATTCGGAGAGACCTTAAGAGAAATATACCGAAGATAAACCTGGAGGGGGAGTAGAAATATATTGGCTTTATTAGAGAGGGTCCAGTAAATACAGAGAGTAAACATGGAGGCTTGCTTCGAGAGTAATAAGGTACATAATATTTGCATGAAAAATACAGTTTAAGTAAAGGAGAAATATACGGGGCGGGGCGGGGAGAGAGAGAGAGAGAGAGATTAATTAAAGAAAAGAAGAGAAGGGCACTATATCGAAAAGGGTTGTTCCCAGAGAGCTGAAGTTATTGAAGTTGGATGATATTTATGATTCTTAGCTAATTACTGCACGACGCCAAATGGTCGTTAGGGAAAGAAAAAAGTGTAGCTAAAAGACTATTGCGCTAGTTTTCAAAAATCGTAAGCCTTGAAAAATCAGTGTTGAAATATTTGACCTTTAGGTAGGATTGATTGATTTTTTTTTTTTTTTTACGGCTTATCAAGCTTTTATAGGTTATTTAAAGCAAGGAAATATTTTAAGATTTTAGTTGGAGATAATGATTTGCTGATAAAAATTCCTGCTAATTAACCCAAATCTGGGCGGGGGGGAGAAGAAGTGGATATATATATATACCGTTGCCAGAGGTATTTTTGCGTAAGTGAATATAACGAGCCTAACTGGAAGTGGAACTCAGCTCTCCGATTTCCAATTCTGAACAGTGATCCATTCCACCACCCGCACATCGTTTAAAGCATCTAGTATTCGCAAGCTGCCGCTCATCTATGTACTGACCAGGCTCGATGTTGCTTAACTTCAGTGATCGTACGAGAATCGGTGTTTTAACGTGGTATGACCCTAAGCGAACCTTCAGTAGGACTTGAACTATGAAAGCCTACAAGCCGATGACGAAGCGGTACACGCTCTTAGAAAGATCAATAAGTTTGCAGCCTAACGAGGAAATGTTTTAATATAATCTCTTTTTTGACAATACAAACATTTAGCGAATATGTAGATCCATCAAAAGGCCCACAGCTTACGGATGAGAATAAATATAATCTATACATTTCATAAATATATTTTTCAACATAATTTCCTTCTTTTTCCATGCACTTAATTTTCTGTTGAGGATGTAAGTATATCAAGAGGCTATCAGACAACTGATGAAAAATATATTGCACAATAAATATTTTTCAACATAATCTCCTTCCTTGTCAATGCACTTAATTCTTTGATGAGTATGTCGGTATATGAATAGAACCACAAACAACTGATGAAAAATGCACTGATATTTTGCACAATAAATGTTTTTCAACATAATATCCTTCTTTGTCAATGCACCTAATTCTTTGGTGAATATGTAGGTATAGCAATAAGCCTACAGACTACTAACGAAAAAACATTAACTCTACGCAATAAATATTTGCTTTTCAATATAGTCCCTTTCCTAGTCAATGCATTTAATTGAGGGATAAATGTGAATCACACAGGTCGAACATTATACAGTGAAAAAATTCAGATCAAAATTTTGCTAATAACTGTGTTAGGGTATGGGTTTAGTGATGACCCGTGTATCTGTATGTGTAATATAAGTGGGTTCAATTCTTACCGAGTCCTTTACTCCTGTAACGTTGTTCGTATGAGATGAAATTTACCTTACTATATATATATATGTATGTATGTATATAGCTATCTATCTATATATATGTGTGTGTGTGTGTGTGTGTGTGTGTGTGTGTGTTTGTTTCAACCTCACTATCCCAAACTGATGTTTTGGGTATTCTTACTTGTGTACCTTTGATGGTCACTCCTTGTCGTGGTGTAGAGGCTTGCGTGGTCCAGTGATTCTGAGAACGACGCCGCCTGAAGTTCTGAACTCCTGGTAAGGCCACACTTGGCTTCAAGGTCGAATACCTGGACCCACACTAAGCGCAACCAACCCCAAAGACCCCAACTGGGGAATAAGCGAATGATGATTACAACAGATCTCAACGGCTGACCCAGCGGATGAAGAGGGTTGCAGATAACGGACATGCTATAAAAGGCACCACTCGAAATTATAATTGGGTCAGCGGTAGCCCGTTGCGGTTTCGTAACTGGATTCTGCATCTCTCATTTCATATGTGCCGCAGAAGGTAGTGAAATCAAGCGGGTGGGTAAGTTCCTGGAAAATTGAGGCCCATCTTACACAAATTCACGCCATTGCCACTTTCTTCTACTCTGATTTTGTTTCACAACTCCAACGTGCAAAGACAGACGGCGATAAGGAGTGGATGACGGGTGCAGGTTTTGGTGCAACTAGAGGCTGCACGTTGGCGATGAATGTAGCCATCAACATCACCATCATAAAGGCAATGATCAGCAAAGAGGAAAAATTAATTCTTGGATAAAGCCCATGATGACTTGTGTAAAGCTACTGGGATTATGAACAGAGACGATGGAAACCGTGGCGTAATAATCTAAAGATGAACTGAAATTGCGGAAGATGTCTTCCAAAAGCTCAGTAAAGTATTAAGAAATACGAAAGCTACATTAGAAACAGAGAAAAAAAGCTGAACTGCTATGTAATATCAATATTACTATATGACAGTGAATGCTGGAACAATCTCTTCACAGATGACGAGAAAATTGGAGGCAAGAGAAAGTTCTACAGAAGAATACTGAGAATACTATGGACGGAATATATGAACAACAATGACATTATAGTCTGAATTTATGGCATGAGGAATTATCATTATTTGCAATATTTGCATTTGGAATATTGTCCTCGTCTTTGTTGTTGGTATCCCAACGTTTCGACCGTTGTGTCCTCCGGCCTTCCTCAGGTGTATATCGATCCGGGTAACCTATAGGGAATTACGTAAGGAACCGTTTATTTAATCTACAGGGGTAGACTGTTCCACTGCCCATCCCTAGGGATATTTTGTATCGTTCTTATTTTTATTTTTTTTAGTACAGCTATATTATTGCTCGCTTTGTTTCCACAAGGTCCAAGGGGTTGAATTTAAAATTACTATGGCACCAAACAACAACAAAGATGAGGACAATAGTTCGAATGTAAGTAGTATAAATAATGAAGGGAAATTGAAGCAAAACACTTTTAATTAGAAATAGTTGAAATTACTACAACGCATAATGAGGAAAAAGGGCTTGGGGAATTTGTTACTCACATGACATATAGCAGTCAAGATGGACAGAGGGAAACAAAGAAATGTACCTAATGAACTTTTTAAACAGATCGCAGAACAGGGATTGGGAGAGAATAAACATTGTTAAGAGATACAACGGTCAAGAAATCGTGGAGAGCTATGTCTTGCAGGGATATGGTACTGCCTAGAAGACATATGTAAACATCTCATAATATTGAAAATGAAAAAAAAAAAAAAAACGTAGAAATAATAAGTCGTTTTTTTAAACAAAACTTAAGAGAATGCGACAGGGAGAAAGACAGAGACAGAAAGTAAAAAGAAGATTGAGAGGAAGAGTGTAAAAGAGTGAGGGAGAGGAAGAGTGTAAAAGAGTGAGGGAGAGGAAGAGTGTAAAAGAGTGAGGGAGAGGAAGAGTGTAAAAGAGTGAGGGAGAGGAAGAGTGTAAAAGAGTGAGGGAGAGGAAGAGTGTAAAAGAGTGAGGGAGAGGAAGAGTGTAAAAGAGTGAGAGAGAGGAAGAGTGTAAAAGAGTGAGAGAGAGGAAGAGTGTAAAAAAGAGAGAGGAAGAGTGTAAAAAAGAGAGAGGAAGAGTGTAAAAGAGAGGGAGACAAAGCAGTCATTATTTTTTTCTTTTGTTTTATTTTTCTATTCACAGAGAGTGCTTTAGCATTTCCCTATATCTGTTCAGACAGCGTTAGGTTATCCCAGGTTGTATAAACTGAGAAAAGATGGTTCCCTTGGCTGAGCTCAGAAAATGACATGCCGTTATTAGCTTGATCGCAAGCCCTGAGGAGGAAACTCTAATTTTCTTTGATGGTAAATAGATAAAAAACGCAATTGTGATCTTGATGTTGTTCAAAGCAGCAGCTATAACCTGAACAAAGTCCACGACGTGAACCCATGAATTGAAAGAGTCAATGACGTGAGCCCATGAATTATGAGGGTCGACGACGTGAGCCCACTAGTTGAAGGAGGAAGTGTCTACGACGTGAGTCTACGGGTTGGGAGAGAAAGAGTCCACGACGTGTGCCTACGAGTTAAGAAAGTCCACGACGTGAGTTGAGAGAGAAAACAAAACTGTTCTTGATGCTATTCAAAACAGCAGCTACATTCTGAATAGAATCAAGGACGTGAATTTCAGCACGTTCCTCGGGGTGTCGTCAACTGCTAACACCAAACGTTCCCGCCTCTTCCGTATTTTTCTTATAACATAATTACTTGTTAGGCGGGGGAGATATTGAGCTATCGTCATTCTGATTGATCTTTGCGAAACAGGGAAAACAAGAAGGGCATTTTTATAGTTGGCATTTGCGAGAGATATAGGAAGGAATTTTCCGGATCAATTAAATATATCAGTGGAGGCAAAGGGAGAGGTTCATAGTCTGGAGGTAAGAGGTAGTTCAAAATAGTAAGAAATGGACTTGAGATCAGTTTATGAATGTGACGCTAATAAGAAGACAATAAGTGAAACACTGTAGCGAGGGAAGGAATGTTATTATCACGAGTGAAAAAGAGAGGCGGGATAAATAAATAAGCCCCGTATATACGTTTAATTAAAGAGAAAAATTAGATTATTGGAGAGATGAAAAGCAATACGTGGACAGTATGTATTAGGGTATGTCGTGATGTGTGTGGTTAATTAGATGTTTTAATTAATAGACATTCAGAGTTAGGCTTCAGAGTTTCTCTATGAATGGGTGAGTGAGGATTGCGATGGAAAGATAAAAAGTCGACAGCGAAAGAAAGAATGAAATGAAATAGGAAAGAGGAAAGTAAAAAAGATGGTTATAAAAGAAAGAATAAAAGGAAAATAATGAAAAATGAACTATATATATATATATATATATATATATATATATATATATCTCCGATGCGATGAGAACGAACGTAATATATAAATTCCAACGTTCATAGCATTAATCCAAAAGATGGCTCGATACCGATCGTAGAGCGATAATTATTTATTTATTATAATTTTATCATATAGACAAAACCATTTTACTCACTACAAAGATGCAACTTCGTGTCAGTGCATTTTCAACTGCACTTCGACGAGTGAGAATCGAAAATAGTTACCATTTGAACCGTTGTATCTCAGAAATGATTAAATATATCTTACTGGAATTCGGTGAGGTTTTTATAACGCAATTGGGCTCTACATTAAGCAATACATGTTTATCATTAATTAAACATACCTAAGGATCAGAAGCCCATGAAGGACTGGAGTAAGGTTTAAATATATATATATATTATTCCAGGATCATTTTCAAACTTATTCAAGATGATCTTCGTCCTTTCTAACATTCTAACGTTCTGTTTTAGAGTAACAAGTTGCCTCACTAGTTTCACGTACCATTACATTTTCAAATCTTTTTTTTTTTTTTTACTTTTCGGACTGTCATAGCTAAAACTCCCTTCTCACGTGCCACACGTCTTATGGATTGAATTGAATCTTTTCTAATTGATCGCTTTAGCTCTAAGTTGAAATGATGATCCCTCTTTCTATTGTGACCACCTGATCCAGTTTTCCTTTCTACTGTCCCCTCTTTTTTAAACTTATTCACCGTTCTCTTGATGGTTCTTGAATGTACTTTGAAGATAGAAGCCGGAATATGAATGTTGGTACCATTACTGAAGGTCTGAATCTTTTTCTCTCACCATTGCTCAATTGAGAAGACTGAGGCTGATACGTGTTCACTTTCCAGCTAAATAACTCAAAGTGTTTTTCAATGATTCTTAGGACAAATGGTATCAAGATGGCTAAATGTCTTATCTGAAAACCTGAAGGAAAGAAACCCAGTTTAGTGTTTTTTTTTTTTTGGATATTAAGCATTCTGTGGGATAGACAATTTTGCTGTTACACCCGGTATATATATATATATATATATATATATATATATATATATATATATATATATACCCACGCACACAGAATGGTGCTTGTAAACGAGTGAGAAGTAAATGAATAAAGAATATGAGAAAGACTGAGTAAAGAAGAGAAAGCGAGGATTGAGAGAGAGAAAACAAGAAAAAGGAGAAATGCAAGAAAAAATAGTGCGGAATTGTTTTATTGAATCACTGATGATGAAGCAAGAAACCAGTTGACCTTATGAAAGTAAACGTAATAAAACGAACGAGCTAACTGACGTAATAAAAAAGAGGAATGCTTTGCGAAAGAAGACGTTATATAAGAGAAGGCATTTGACACAATAAAAGAAAAGAAGGTATTCGACGTTAAAGAGAAGGAGTAGACATTTGACGTAATAAAAGAGGAGAAGACACCGTTAAAGACGTTATAAAAGCGAAGTAAAAAAATGGCAAAATAGTATGATATGTTGGGTTACGGCCTCTAGAAATTGAATAAGTGTGACACAGTGACACACTGACATTCACATTTATTATATAGAAGAAGATGAGCTATTGAAATTTAGAGATTTATATCCCTTTAATTGAAAAAAGTGTAACACAGTGACATTCGAATTTATTATATTGATTTGTTGATTTATATATTTATTTAGCTGTAATTAAATACAATTTCTATTGATTATTTTCATCATTTCAGAGCTTCTTACAAGCTTCAAAAACGGCCCAGTAAATAACCCACTGTCGTGAACAACAGAGTACATTGTATGATTGGCCAGTCGCAATGTCGTATCAAGCAATCTTTTAGAGAAAACACAATTAGATGTCGTATGGCCTACAATTGGTTCACGAAGTTCCAGTTTGACCAATTCGATCTGCAAGATCAGCCAAGAAGTGATCGACACTCACACATTGACCATCAGCATATGTGCCCCTATATCGAAGCTGACAGCACGTGGACTGGTTGACAAGTTTAGTGTAAGCCATATAGCCATTTTACATCACTTAAAGGAAATAAGCAAAATCAATAAATTCGACGTATGGGTTCCACGTAAACTAACCGACTTTGACCGTCGATGCCACATAGACGCCTGCACGACACTACTGTCCAAGAAGCGTTGCTTTGATTGACCAAGTGGTTACTGCAGATAAAAAGTGGTGCCTGTCCTCGAACGTGATATGCAAAGAAACTGGACATACAAGGATGCAACTGCACGTCCTCAGGTAAAGCCCGACCTGCATCAAAACAAGCTCATGGGTTGTGTCTGGTGGGATGTGAAGGGCGCGATTCACTGGGTTAATTGCTATGTGTAGTTTAAGAAGCATATTTTAAAATTTAATTATTAATAGTTATCAAATGTTTTATTTTACAGAAGATGATGAAGACTACACAATTTCAAAAGATTAGACTATTTAAATAAGGATTTTTTTTAGGTTAAACTAATTCAGTCGATCGTACACTGATTCCTCATAATTGAATACAAATCATTGAAATATTTTGAAATTGTCTTCCATGTAAAACTTTTTTTTTCTGATTACTCCAATACTTCACTTTTTTCTTTTCTATTCTTAATCAATTCAAGCAAGACGATAACACTACGAAGACATAAGTGGTTACTGGAAGTGAAATAGAAGGAAAACTTTTTAGAAGGAACCGGAAACCAATCTTAAGAAGGAAACAAGAAATAAACCTCTACTTCCGTTCAAAAGATCGGGAGGAGTGTGAACCGGACGAGAGATACACTTCTTTACTACTATTGAGGATAAAATACAAAATCGTATAAATTTCAGAGTTTAGGCAGAGAAGTTAGAAGTATAGAGTTGAGGTAGAATTTATAAGGAACCCAAACTTAAATACGAAATAAGGGATAAACCTCTACTCCTGTTCAAAAGTCTCGGGAGGAGTGTGAACTTGGATGTAAGCTATAAGATTTTTATTTTAAAAGTAAAAATGTTTGCTTCTGAAATTTTTCTAGTGTAAATTTTATTTATTTAAATTAAAATTATTTTTATCAAAAAAATTTACTGATACCCTAAAATAGCAAATGTATTTAAATTTTTCGTATTATCTTTATAATCAACAGTTCATGTGACAGAAGGAGACACACAATTAATTTTTTAAAAGTAATGATTGTTCTATCTAAAAAAAGAAAAGAAAAGAATATTGATGATCAACAACAACAAAATTACAGAAAAATAATTAGATATCACAAAGTAAAATATTGATTTTTATGACGGGGCACCATATTTACAAACGGAATCAATTCAACAAATATTTGTGTCGCTTTCGTCAGACGGTTATACAAATACCATCTGTTTTTTTCCCTTTTTCTTTTACAGTAAGGTTCATTCTGTACAAGGGGAGGGAGGCACTCGAGGTAGAGGGTTAGGGTTACAGAGTAGTTTATATGGATATGAGAGGGATAGCGGTTAACTCTAGACTGAACAGGTTAAGATTGTAGTGATCAGGAAAACATCCTCTTGGAAGTCTGTTTCATAGGGCAGTGGTTCGCGGGAAGTAGCAATTTGAGAGGCTCTTAATCCTCGCCGATGTAATACGGAGGGATTGAAGGTGGTTTGTTACTATGTAAATGGCATGACCGGTCCTAGCCATGAAGGTCAGACCTGGTGGAACAGTGCAGTTCGTACGAGCACTTTCCTTGGTAGTAACGATAGGGCAGTGAGAGACTCGCCACATCCCGCCTGTGAGAGAGGGGTTGGAGTGTGGAAAATAATTCTTCTCCAACAAGGACTCGGTGACGCTTTTGAACTCTATTAAGACTGGAAAGTGAGGTCTGAGCAGTTCCATCCCAAATATGGCAACAGTACTACATTTTCGGCCTGATCTGGCTCTTACAAAGGTAGAGGATAGCATGAGGAGTCAGATACATACAGGACCGCTACAGGGAGGCGATCATTTTACCTGCATCTTTAGCAATGGATCATATGTAGGTACTCCACTTGAGGTCAGGTGTGAGTTGGAGGCTCAATATCCTCTCGAGGCACGCTGTATTCTCGAGGGGACATCTGTTCATCGTAATTGGCCATAGTTCGGGATCTGATCGGCGGTGATGAAATACAACCAATTTGGTCCTAGCCACACAAAATGACCTTTAACTTGTACTGATGCAAATCAAACATGTTATATAATGACGTAATTAAATAGAGCAGTGAATAAAACAACGCTTTCCCGTAAAATTATTTTGGCATTATTATCATTTTAATAGATTTTTTATTTTTATTTGTCTTATTGAGTTTTCTGTCAGTAGCATGGAGGCTATTTTTGATTTTTGCTAATTCAAGGAAAAATTGACTTCGTAACCGTTTAATTCAACCTTAGCTAAAAGTATTTTTTTTTTACTTCATAAATACGCAAAATTAGAAAATAGTAAGAACTCACTTTTTGATATTGTAATTAATATTTTTCGACATGAAATTACAATTTTCGTTGAAAGTATCTAAAGTATAAGAATGAATATACAAACAAGTACATACATTTTACAACTTATTTTAGTGGCTGAACAAACAAAAGAAAATATGAAAATATGTGAACAAATGGTGTGCGTGTGTGTATGGATTTGATGCGCTTTGTGTACGGTTTTATGTGTAAAGTTCTATTAAAATGGAAAACTTAAATTTGAGAAGAGTTATTTCTTGTTTTGGTAGAATTATTAGTGTGTAGTCAAGTAAGCTTAGAGCATTTAGAGCGGTGTAATATACTGTGTTGTGTTCAATGCGGCCCAACGAGGTGACGACACGTTTAGTCTCTAACGCATTCTGTGGGTAAAAAAAAAAGAAAAAGAATGAGATTTTACGTTCTATTTTATTTTCTGCCTTTGGCATTATATATATATATATATATATATATATATAGTGGAACCTCAGTTCACGAATTTAATTCGTTCCTGAAGGCCGTTCGTAAACGGAAACTATTTTTCCAATAAGAATCAATGTAGAGGAAAAAGTCAAAGTACAATAAAATAGGAAAAGGAAAGCAAGGCAAAACACACGAATGTATACAACTCGGCGATCGACTCAGAAATGATTCCATTCAAGTTAACTCGGTTCGGCTATGTTGTTCGAGAACTGAAATTTTGTTCGATAACCGAGGCATTTTCATCCCGAATTTTATGTTCGAAAACCGATTTTGTTCGACATGTGAGATGTTCGATAACCGAGGTTCCTATAGTAATAAAATGATCTCATTGATTGCCCTTAGATATGTATATAGTTCTAGGAGCAAAGTAAATACTTTTAAACGCACTAATAAAACCAAAGAGAAGGAAGCTAAAATACACACACACACACACACTAGAATTTTTAAGTTTCAATAAAAACAAGCGAAAAACATCTTGTGAAAAATATTGATGAGGATTTAGGCTGGGAAATAAAGTTATCAACAAAACAGTAGATGCATAGTAGACATTGCAATCGAAATTAGGGAGATAATTTGAATGCATTTTCGTCACAGCAAAATAATTATCTTTGTTGACACTGACAAATCGACAACCGTTTTTTTTGATTTTTTTTTAACACATTATTACATGGTTGACATTTACACCCGGGGTGAAAGGTTAGCATAACGTAATGTATTTCGTTTGTAATTTTCTTTTTTTATATATATATATTCCATGTTCACATTTTGCAAATGGCTTAGATGCGGATTCTGGGAATGATTGAAAGTTGAAGAGTTACTTTTCTTCTCCTTTCCTGATTCTACTGTCCACTGATTTCTTGCTGGCTCTCATTATTTTCATCCAAATTTTCTTTCCTCTGTTCTTTATTTTCTTTTTCTTTCTTTGGGTTTTTCTTTCTTTCTTTGGCTCTTCAGTTGTTTTTTTCCTTTTATAGTTTTTGTCTCTTCTTCATTTCTTCCTTTCTGTTTTCAATTATTTCTTTGGCTCTTTCTTTCTTTTTTCAGTTCTTTTCTTGATACTTTTTTTTTCAGTTATTTGCTTGGTTCTTTATTCTTTTTAGTTCTACCGCTTTCTTTCTTTTTTCTTTTCTTGCCTTCTTTTTTCTTTTATTAGCTCTTTCTTTCTTCAGATATTTTCAGGGTTTTTTTCCGCTTTCAATTTGTTCTTTGGTTCTTTCCTTTTTTATTGCTTTATTTTTGGCTCTTTTTTCACTTCTCTCTTTCACACTTTATTTCTTACACACTTGCTTTTTCCCTTGCTCTTTCTTCATGTCTTTCGCTCGTTCTTTCTTCAGCATATTCTTTCTTTCTTTGACAGATTTCCCACTCTTGTGCTTTCAGATCCTGTTTTGATATGCTTTTTACTGTCATTCACTTCAACTTCTGAAACAAAATGAATTATTTCGCAAAAAAACTTTTTTCATTCTTCAAACAATTCTTTTTTTTTCTCTACTCATTTTTTTATTTGAGTCTTCACTTCAAAATCACAAATATCCATCATTTCGCAAACCGGCTCAGAAAAAGTGAATAATGATGGTCTGTGTATTTTCTCCCCTTTTAACCGTTACTGACTGGTTTTTATGAATTTAGCTTTGTTCATGTCTCCGCCATACCTCCAAAGTCTCATAAATATTATTTCCTCGCGTCAAAAACTGCAACCGGTATCTATTTTTCTTTATAGCCCGTTCTTTCTTTAGTCGTTTTTTTTTTTATGCTTTCTTTTTTTCAGTTTTCTTCTTTCTGTTTTCCTTTCTTTCTTTCACCTCTGCTTTGCCGATCTTTCTTCAGTTTAAAAATTCTGTGGCTTTTTCCATAGTTCTTTCCTTCTTTCTTTAACTTTTTCTTATGTTTCTTTCCTTTTGACTTTCTTCAGCTCTTTCTTTCTTTATCTAACTTTTTCTTCAGATCTTTCTCTCTTTTTCTGAAGACTTTTCTCTCCTCCTTTGACTTTTTCTTAAGGCTTTTCTCTCCTCCTTTGACTTTTTCTGAAGACTTTTCTCTTCTCCTTTGACTTTTTCTGAAGACTTTTCTCTTTCCTTAAATATTTTTTCTTAAGGCTTTTCTTCCATCAGATTCTTTTTCTTTAAATGAAATTTTTATCTCCTCCTTTGACTTTTTCTGAAGGCTTTTCTCTTCTCCTTTGACTTTTTCTTAAGGCTTTTCTCTCCTCCTTTGACTTTTTCTTAAGACTTTTCTCTTCTCCTTTGACTTTTTCTTAAGGCTTTTCTCTCCTCCTTTGACTTTTTCTTAAGGCTTTTCTCTTCTCCTTTGACTTTTTCTTAAGACTTTTCTCTTCTCCTTTGACTTTTTGTTGGGTACATTCTTTTGGGGGCTCTTTGTTTCTTTTTTGTGCTTTTTATTCAGCAATTTCATCAATTTATTTTTCAAATATCTTCCTACCTTCCCTCTTTTTAACTGTGCTACTTTCTTTTCTCTTTCGATATATTTTCTTGTACTCTTTGCTGCATCAATTTATTCAACCACGTAACGATTCTTCCCCTCTCTCTATATCCTTTCTTTTGCTTACATTCTCACTGTTTTACCATTCTATTCATTCCACCTCTCTATGAAGTTTGTAGGTCTTAACGAGGACCATCCTTTTCCGAACCTCTTGGACTGGCACCACAGAATCACACAAAGGATTTGTACTAAATGACAGAAACGAAATCATTTGACTTTTAATAATCGCAACAACTGAAATGGATAGCACTTGTAAAGACAATAATATAATAAAGATGTTAGTGTTCCACACTACTTCCAACAAAAGTCTAGGAAGGAATCCCCTATCAATACTGGAAAGAGCGGTAACAGTTACTGGGGTTAAGAAAACTATTTTTCTGAAAAATTGTTTTAAGAGAAAGATTTTACAAATTTCAGCTGGCAGTAGCAGTGGCTGTTTGACTGGTCAATGCTAAATGTTTCCTTATAAGTAAACTTATGATATTACCAATACCATATATTCGTATCTTTTTCGCTTTGTACTTCTAGAGGTCAAATTTACAGATAAAGCCAATCAGCGATGAATTGTTTTTGTATTTGTTCATAAGATAAAAGATATACGAGCCATATCAGAAAAGTAACGGGACTGGTGTCAAAAACAATTTATTTCAATTCCAAACAACAAACGACATGGTTTCCCCACTTCAAAGTAATCCACGCCTTCAAAACGGGTTCCCTAGATGATCCCCTTTTTAATGGGGGAAAGAAAAAACACACGCAGTTTTCAGGTGAATTATAGGTTGTTTGAACCATCCTGCGATGCTCTTCCTGGCCAGGAACTGCTGGATGGTCACGGCGTTGTGAATCGGTGCATTGTCATGGGGAAGCAGCCACGATTTGACCTGACACATCTCATCCCGTCTCTGATTGATCGTCTGGCCCAGTGGCAAGAACTCACTGTAGACGAAGCCACTCACATCGAAAAACGGATGTCTTGTTACTGTTCAGATAGACCTTGTATTTTAGAAAGACGATGAAAAGTATTATTCAATACTCTACATAAAGCACAACACGAGTGGGTCTAACATTTTGTAGAAAGCCTTTGTTCATAATGGCAGCTTTCAATTACTTCAATTTTAGTAATATAATTTATTTGAGCTATAAACTATTAGTATTTTTTAACCACCGTTTATAACTGGTCCAAAATCACTTCATTTCAAATTATTCTATATTACAAAATTGGACACTTATTTTCAATCAGGTTCAAATCTATGCACTGGCCATTTTAGTAAGCCAACATTTTTTATTATTTTTGAACGACTGTTTAGTTGTCAGAGGTTAAAGATTCTTCTAAGATCTCTGTCCCTTTAGGACGAATGCAATCCTGGCTCTTCACATTTTTCATGTCATTTGCAGCTCTTAATAAATTTTATCTTTTTGTTGTCACCTAAATCTTGTTCTGTCATCCATTTAATCCAGCTTACTAGGTTGGTTATACATTCTTTTCTTTTGTCCCTCTTCCCTTCAATCTTTCCTGTTTATATCAAATTTTCCAAGCCATCTTTCCTCATTAGGTTCACCCATTTTCTTTCTTTCTCCAAATACTTATCTCATTTTGTTTGCTTCTTTCTTCTAATAATTTGACCAATTCCATTGATTTCTTTTACTTGTTCTGTCATTTTCTTTCTTGGCATTTCACAGCATCTACATTTACTACCTCTATCTTTCATGTCCCAAAATAAACAATGTTTAATTGCAGTTTGTATAATTTTGGATGATGTCACACTAACTGATTTGCCAATCATCATTAGCCTCTGTTCATTTTTAACTCACAAATCATTCTGTTTTGCAAAAGTCATGAACACATAATGCAACTCAACTACTTTATTCTATCCTTTGCTCACTGACAAGGAAAGAAATTTCAAACAAAATTTTAAGCCTCTGCCAAGAATTCTTCTATCACAATTAAATTTCAAGAATTAATTTATTGTGTGGGGAATGTAAAAAAAATAATTCAAATGTTCATATTTTGATTGATTTATTTTCTATAGTTGATCAAACCTTTACAGATTATCTAAAGCGAAAAAATGGATAAAGGATTAGAAGAATATTATTGAGGGGAGATAATAATGGTTTAGTGATTTTTGTCTTACTAAATAACTCATAGCTGGGAGAGGAGAGATAGATTTATGCCTTTCCGAAAGGTATGATGAATATAAGAAATCAAAATGGAATAAGAACTGAGTTCCCCAATTAACAAGTCCAAGCCATTATCGATTATCCCACTTGCACATTCAAGTTTACTGGAAGTAGAATTCATTTATTGAAATGTGAATATAAAAAATGCACATAGCATTCATTTATGGAAATGTGAATATAAAAAATATTTGTTATAACATTTTGAATGGCACAGTTTTTTTAAACTTTGTATGAAAAAGAATTTAAAATAGAGCGATGAACAACGAAAGTATTTTAAAAGAACTGTATATATATATATATATATATATATAATATATATATTGCTATTGTTAATTAGTATTGAGATGACTTTGGATTAATATCCTCCTTGAAATTATCCCTACCAATTATTAATGGGTGAACAGCAATATATATATATATATATATATATAT